GGTTTCCATTCATCCTTCTTCACTTCAGGGGGGGTTTGTTTCCATCTCACTCAAATCTTGGGCTCTGGTGTGAGCGCCAGGTACTGAGACATGAGGTCACTATGAGGTCACTCCCCCCACCAAGTCGGGAGGGAGAAAGTAAAGGAGAGAAAGGAGTCGTCACCAGTCAAGACTACAGGAGCCAGGGGAAAAAACCGGCTATTTCTAAATCCAGCTTAACCCTCAGCCCGGAAGTCCAAAATATCGAAGCTAAGCGCCTCTGCCATGGCCACCCAAATAACAAGCATCAGACATGAGACTGTGACCCCGGGGTTCCACATTCCATCTATCACAACACCTCTGCTGTTGCCTCTTCTCAATAAAAGGAAACACTTCTTTATTCCCTGTAACTTTTTCCACCACTCAAATGAGCTATATCTGCTGCTTGCCAATTGGGAAGGATGCCTGGGCTATTTCATCCCAAGGCTGGGACAGGTCCTTTCCCCTTTCCCCCATTATACCCCCATTAAGTCAAGCAAGGCTGAAATCTTCTAACCTGCCCTCAGTTTTTCCATCTCTAAAATGTGTATTAACATACCCAAGGATTTCCACTGGCAGTTCAGTGGAGAATGGAGGCAACTTTTACTTGGCGCTCCAAGCTCCCGGGGTATTAAGTCTCTAACTATTCCCCACAGTGCCTTACACCCAGAAAGCCATCCATAAATATTTGGTGAATTGGATTATTGGACTAACATAAGGAATGTGATGAGGCCTCAGGCTGTGGTTCTTTCTCGAAGATAATTATGTCCTAGGAAAGCAATGAATAAATTATTTTAAGCAGTCCCACCAAGCTGAAAAAGATTCAAGTGTGGGCCCAGCTAAGGATCAGACTAGCTAAATTGGAAGAGCATTCCAGGAATGACCTCAAGGGTAAGCAACATTTCGGTCACTGGCACTCAAAAGGTCTTGGACTTATCATATAGAACAGACCCATGTACTTTAAAAAAAAATTAATCTTTTTGGTTTATGGTGTTTCAATGCAATTGGTTTCTTTTGTAATCCTAAGTATTTTATTTTACGTATTGAAAAACAGTATTCTGAGGAGTCCATAGATTTCAGACTGCCAAAGGGGTCTAGAATACAAAAAAGGTGAAGACTCCCTGACTGGTTCTTTCTGGGGGCTAAGCTCAGCCCCCTCACTACCCTGGGAGCATGTTCCAAACAGAAAAGGAAGTCAGAGATCCTAAATACTGTTCTCTTCTTGCCTCTCCCTCCCCTCAACCATTTCGAAAGAATAATTTATCAAATAAGACATAAACTGGATCCACACCCAAGACGGAGCTGCGGCCGCCAACATTCACCTGCCCTTTCCAAGCTGTATTCAAAGTGGAGGCAGTTCAGGTCTGAGCTTTCTTTTCTTTTCTTTTCCTTTTTTTTTCCTCCCTAACTTTACATATTTTAACACCGCCTAATGGAATAGCAGGAATAAAGCCAATCTGTCCCATGTTGCCCTGCGCTGGGCCAGAGTCACAGAAGAAATATATTTTCAGTCAGTCAGAGGACGCTGTCTCAAAGCTACACAAGTTCCACAGGGGATTGCCGCCAGGCCCAAGTAATAGAGAACGGTCACCCTTCCCTCTCCTGAGAAAAATGTGAAGGGAAGGAGACCTGGAGAATGGGGCCACAGGGGCAGCAGGGCAGGAAGAGAAACAGCAGGGCCAGGGTGACGTCCAGCCACCACATGAATCAATCAATAAACAGTGATTAAACACCAGGTGGCCTAAATGAAGTAAGGGGACCCATGGTGGTCTCTCCTTTCCTCTTCTCCCCGCCCCCACCCCTGCCAGGGGCTCCACTCTCAGTCTGTAGGGAAGTATCAGACAGAGGGAACAGAGCAACCCACTTAAGAAGGCCCCATAACAAGCCACAAGCATCACTGGCCAGGATGATGGAGTGAAGTTACCCCAAGAACAAAGTACTGATTTTCTTTTAAGAACTAAACAGTGCAAAGCTGGCTGCTGGCTTTTTCCTTCCCCCCTCCCCTGGGTATTACTGGAATTCAATTTAACTCACTTACAAAAGGCATTTATTTATTTATTCATTTATTTATAAATATTTTATATATTTATTTATATTATATAGCACTATTCTGTGCTAGGCCCTTTGCTAGGAGCTGGAGGAACCACGACAAGAAGGATACACAGATCCTGCCCTCCAGAAGCTTACATTCTACTGAAAATGATAAATCAAAAGTCAGAAGAAACCATGGCTGTTCCAGCTCTTTTCATTCACTGAGGCCTCTGCTCTTTGTCAGAGCCCAAAACCATCTCTCTCCCCATTCTAGGGTCACGAGAAGCCAATCGCAGGCTGAGAGCTGGCGGGCATCTGCGAGAAGTCACCGAGAGAGGGGAAGTGACTGATAAAATCCTAGATTTGGAGCAGAAAGAGACCTCGGGTCCTCCTGGGCCAATGCACGCACTTTACTGAAGAGGAAACTGAAATCCAACTAGTTCCGACTTGCCCCTGATTACCAGCAGAGCCAGGATTCAAATGCACATCTCCGGGCTTCATGTCAGCAATCTCCCCACTATACTAGGCTGTGGACACAAGATTTACAAAGTCCTGTGTTGGCACTAGCTACCCAAACACCCTGTGAGGCAAAGTTATTATCTCCATTTCACAGATGGGGAAACTGAGACTAAGTGATTTGCCCAGGGTCATCCCAGGTTGCCACAACTGTCCAAGGCAAGTTTAAACCTGCTATCTCCCTCACCCCAAGTCCGGCGTATCTATCTATAGTGCCAAATACAGGAGTCCAACTCAGCCCCTGGAGATGACGGAGGAGGTAGAAACTAGCTCCCTACTATCTCCCCTTACTAACTAAGCTACTGACCTTAAAAAGGGTTAAGCTGACGCAAGGCTGAGTTGGCAAGGACACGGTACCTTCTGAACACAGGGCCCACTGCCAGCCCAAATCTGAGAGCTGCAAGCTACACCCACAATCTTATTAATAGCCAGCTCCTGCCAAGTCCCTCCACACTGACCGCTGAGCCTCAATTTCACAGAAAGATACACACAGGTGAACAAACGGGTTATAAAGCTCCCCACATCATCCTAAAGAAAAAAAGAAATTTGGAAAGGAGGGGGAGGGCATGGCAGGCAGGAATTCACTCCTCCTACTGGCCATCCAACATTGGTCTGAGGGGCTCCTGGACTCAGGACTGGGTCGTGTGAATAAATCTCTGGGAGGGGCTTTTTCAAACAAGCCACCATGTTCATGGGAAGGGTGAGGAGGAACCAGCCCCTGGAAAGGCTCAAGGTTAGTGCCTGGTGCTTAGCCTTGGGAAAAGGTCCTTATTGAAGGCTCCAACCAACCAGGATCCTCAAGCTGGGGGCAATGGGAGGAGGGACACCACAGTTTGCTTTCTTTTTTTCTTTTTTCATTTAAATGGGATGTGGAATTTTTTATATCGTGTTTTATTTGCCAAGCCCTTTTTTTAACCTCCTGAGAGGCAGGTGAGTGAACATGCACAATTCCACGAAGAACTAGTAACTCTGGACACAACTCGGAGCCCCCACCCTGTTGGACCCGGTCCCCCCTCTATGAACTTACACATCTCCAGCCGGTCCATCCACTTCCCCGGCTCTCTGCGGACCCAGAACTATCTCCTACAGTACAAAAATCAAACCCTTCTGCTGCCTGCTGGAATCCACCTAGATTTCCCAAAGCGCCTGCCTTCCTCAACCAAAGAGGAGGCTCAGCGGGCCCCGGGGAGACCCCTCCCGCTCAACACGGGCACTGTTTCAGGGTGGGTCACTGTAGAGCCAACAACAGCACTGACAGAATGGATTTTACCTGCCTGTCCCAATAGAGACAATCTAGATTATATTTTTAAAGCATTGCGAGAATGCTCAAGTCCTCCAAACCCCCCAAAATTAATTTGAATGCATTTTACCTACTTTTACATTGACATGCTATTTTTCCTGAAAGATTCCTTAAAGATGGGGACTAAGTCAAGCCCAGAACCTACAGAGCTGTCTATTTAGCTATCTATTTTACTGACACTATCACCGACTAAACATTTATTAAGCACCTACTATGTGTGGGCACTGTGCTGAGCACTTAGGATGCAAAAACAAAGATGGCACATATTCTTCCCTCAAGAAGCTTACATGCTATCCAATGAATAATCTGGGGAAAGTCTGCAGGAACTTTGCACCCATTTTGAAGAGGCCTAGGAAAGAGGTTTCCAAATAAAATTAAACCGTAAATGAAAATTTGATGAAAATCCTTAATACAGCTTAAATGCCCAAGTTCATTGAGTTGGCCTTCTAGGCTCACTCATGCCTGGTGGAAATCACAGACATCTATCATTTCATAATAATTTTAAACATTTATTACATACCTACTATCTGCCAGGAACTAAGCTCAGGATAGAAAAAGCAGTAGGCTAGAACTATCCGGAGGCCTGGGTTCTAATTCCGACACTATCATTCTTTAGTTCTGTGAACCCTGCCTATCCCATTGGTAAAGTGGAACAGAAGGTCCATTCAGCTAATGAGGACACCCAGCATGGTGGGAAGAGGCCATGGAAGTCAGAAGACCCAAGTTAGGGAGCTCTGGGCTCTGTCTGAAGTGAGATGAGGTCAATTCATCTCTAGTTTCTCCATCTGTAAAACAATGGCATGGGTAAAAGATCACTGAGCAGCATGGCCTCTGCCAGCTGGAAATCTGTCATCCTGAGACTGGATCGCTGCAAAGTTCCATCCTGACTGTGACGTGGCTCTCCAGAAAGTCTTCCGCAGATCTATTCATCTTTGCATGTGGTTCTAAGAGATCCCCCCCTAAAGATTCTCAAGCTGAAATACTTCAATCCAATCAGTTAGGTGTAACAAGGCTGCTGGATTTGTACGACAGCTATAAAAAAATCAAGTTATTTCACAATTACGTAAAACAGTCAACATCACACCCACAGCGTCCCCCTCGCCCAAATCCAAAGCCGACAATACGAGTTCACTTACAGATAGAGAGACAAGATTCGGGAGGAGGCAGTGCCCAGGGAAGGGATGATTGTTAGCTCATTGTTATTCAGGTGCCTGCAAAAAGAAAAAAAAATTAGTTAAACAGGCAACCTAAAATTACACATACTCTCACGAGAAAGCCCTTCTTTGTCCATTTGATAAATACAGCCAGCTAACCACGTGGCACCAGCTTCCAGGATTAGCTAAAATCTTTCCAGCAATGAGGTTTTTAAAGGAGAGATCTGAAACTAAACATTTGTGGCACCAAAATCCTCTCTGGACCCTTCGGGGCCCTAGTGCTCTTGCCTTCCTGGTGAGGAGAAAGGGTTTTTCATTCCGGGAGTCTCCCTCACTGAAGAAATCATAAGCCAGGCCACCCAAAAAGGCCTGCCATACCAGTTAACAGTTAATTCAGAGAAAGGATACAGTTCAACCTGGAATAGTATATACTAGGAAAAACTTCATGGAGAAAGTTTCATTCCTTTACCTAATTTTAATAAATGTGTCCAGTTTTTATAGACCTAAATTTTATTCCTTTACCTAATTTTATGTAATTTTAATCATTTTAATTTTAATAAATGTGTGCAGTTTTCATCTACCTAAATTTCATTCCTTTGCCTAATTTAGGTAAGTTTAACAAATAATTTAAATTTTAACAAATACGTCCGATTTCCACAGACTTACAAATGTAGAGGATTTCTGATGCCTCCTAATCTAATGCCTTCATTTTATAGAAGGAAACAAAAGCTCCCAGAGTTTGGTGACAAATCTCAGCAGCTCCTGAGTAACAGTGTTGGCATTTGAACCTAGGTGTTTTGAGCAGGAGTTCTTTATTTCTCCCCCAAACCATGAGGAGGAGCAGAAAACCCAGGAAGGTGCAACTTCAGAGAATCTGCGTTATAGTCCTAACTCCAGGCACATGATTTGGCTTCAGTTGCCTCCACCTCTCTGGCCTCAGTTTCCTCATCTGTAAAATGAAGTATTAGAATGATCTGAATTCCATTTTTACGATTCCTTGAGTTATTTATTGATAGAGAATAGCACAGTGCCTGGCACACAGTAGGCACTTAATAAATTCTTATTGGATTATTGGCTTGGATTAGGATGAGGGAACCTAGACTAAATGACAAAAATGTAGATTACCAGCTCTCTCTTTCCCATGGAGAAATGCATTTCATCGAAGAGAATCAACACATGTAAAGCTAATTCTGGCATGCTGATGCCTATTTTTTAAAAAAGGGAGAAAGGGGAATCTAACACCAAAAATCACAGTTTTAACTTCTACAAACTAGGCAAGCTGCCTGTGTAGTTATGTCCAGCACTCTGGATTGGCTAAGCTGAAGCAACCCTGCCATTTTAATCTCAATCTCTCAATATCTCTCTCTCTCCCTCCACAATTATTCTTCCATACTCCCCCGAGCCAAGCCCATTAAGAAGGTTTTTGCCATTCCTCTTAGATGGGCTTCATCGATGCCTGTTCTAGCAGCCTGTTGTCTGAAGCATCTGGAAGAATGAAAACGAAGCCTTGTTTAGGCACTGAATTAGCCCATTAATTACTCTAACAGGCGCTGGTTTAACTGCTCCCCCCAAATTAAGAGCTGGTTTTCTCCCTCCTTTTCCTCCATCCTGGTGTTCCATCCAAAAAGGGTGGGCTCTTTTCTCCGGAACTTGGGCATAACCTGCTCCCTGCTAACAAGCTCTTGTCATTAAGTGCCAATTTATTTGCTGTAAAAATGGAATCCTCCCAATTCATTAGAGAAAAGTGGAGAACCAGGGGTCAGAGGCCAGGTCAGCCATGCACTAGCCACAGAGTTCTCAGGCTTTCCAAAAAGGTCTCTAGTTGGGATACGGGTGGAGGGGCTCAGTGCAGACGAGGCCTAGGACAAGGAAGAAGATCCTAACCAGGTAGGTCAACCGCACTGGGACAGGGGAGCTTTGGGAAGAGGAAAAGGAAGGGGAAAGCAATCCCACTGGCCCCAGCCACAGAAGCTAGACCACAGAAGTCCCCAGCTGACCATTCCTGAGGGCAGGATCCAGGGTCTCCCTGATCAGCTGAGCTAAGAGTGAATGAAGCCCAGCCAGCCCCCAGGGACCAAGGAAGGAGGCGAGGAGAAGGGTGGCCTAGGACACTCACCAGGCTGCTCCCCTGACAGATGCGAAGTGAAGTCAGGGCGTTGGACTAATAACGGACCTGCATTTCAACCCCAGAGCAAATAAAAATGGGAACTGAACAAACGAAAACTCCCAAACCCTAGTAGAGAGCTCTACTCAATGGTAATTCAAGTATGCTCCAAGAGGACTCCACCCAGTTTTACATTAACATCATTAACCAGCCCCCCCTCCCCCAAAATAATGTGGGGGGGAGGGGACACAACAACACACATGGCTATGTTCCCAATCTCCACCACCAGGGTGGTAGAAGACAAGCGTACAGGTAGGTGTAAACAAGGTTCCAAGGACACAAGGAAACCAAGTTTCTTCTGAAATCCCATTCCCTGGTTACGACAGGGGAAGCTGAAAGGAGAGGCTGGTTAATTAGGGAGATGAGCTACACAAAAAGTCTGTCCAGTTTGCTGGTGGGTCTGCTGAGCTGTCTGCCTCCCAAGCCCCTTTGGTAAAAGGAAGCCCAGCACCCTGGGATGGCAGGGGAGTGGGGCACAGCTACAGGGGAAAGATCTAGAGCCCAGGTGCCAGGCTGAAATGCAGAACTGGGTACAAAATAATACCAGTGAGGACCTTCTGGGAAAGGCCCTTGGGAAGTACTCAGAGACCCCATTACCCAGAAGAATCAGGAAAGCAGAGCAGCTTATTGGTAAGGCCCCTAAAGTCCTTCCTGGATTTTACTGGAGACACTCTATAGCCCTGTCAAAGAAATATGGTTTTTATCCCCATTCTCTGATGCTAAAACTGAGGCTCAGAAAGAGTTAGGTGACAGATGAAGCATATGAAGGAGGGAGGGAGGAAAAGGAAAGGAGGGAGATGGGAGGAGAAAAGAAAAAGGAAAGAAGGGAAGGAAGAAAGAAAAAAGAAAGGAAGAAACAAAGCAAAGAGAGAGGAAAGAGGAGAAGAGATGGAAAAGGAGATGAAGGGAGGAAAAAGAGAAAAAGAAAGAGGGAGGAGAGGAAGGAGGGGAGGTGGGGGGGAAGACTGATACAATCTGAGAATGTTTTCCTTGACTACACATTATTTGTTAAAAAATATTTTGTTTTTCTTTATTTTTCATCATTGGAGGGGAAAGAAAACAGATATTTATTTATTGGAAAAAATGAAATTTAATTTTAAAAAATACAAAGAGAAAAGTTAGATGACTCGTCCAGGGTCTCACAGAACCGTGGGTGAAATGCTCATTATCTGAGGTGTTAAAACAAAACTCCCCTTTTCGTTTCTACCCGAGATTGTGCAAATATCTCCCTAACATAACTGCATGAGCCCGTTTGGGCTTGATGCTGGCTTTCCTGGATCCTGTTGGCATAAGGGCTATGAACAGACATCACATCACAAGCATCCTCCTCAGCGAGGTTAAGGGTCTTGGGAAGAGGCCTTGGGCTGACTTTGGCCTCTACTCCAAGATTTGCTTTTTGAGAGAAATAAATACAAGGTGTTGTTTTCTTGTCTTTTGCTTCTTTGTGATAAAGGGAAAGGACAATAAAGTAAGCAGGAGAAATGAGGCTTTGCTTGTAAAACATGCAAAATGTTCAGTCTCTCACTGCCAAGCTCTTTTCAAACACCACTCCACAGTTACAATGCACAAAGGAAAATATTAGTCCCAGAAACAGCGTTTCCCCCCCCCATGTATTTTATATTAAAAGGAACATACTCTATTTCCTCGTCCTAAAAACTAGGTCATCAGGCCCCCAGAGCCCATCCAAAGGATGATGTATGACTCGTCACCTTGGTCCGTCTGTCACGCTTCCTGCCAGAGAGCCAGGAATCCCACCTAGTCTTACAGGAATAATCACTCCCATCTTGAAAATGATCCCTTGCTCACTGTCTTCCAGCCTAGGTCCCTAAAAATAGCAGGGAAGGAGGTGGGTGGGCCCTGGGCTGGGTCACATGGAATGTCACCAGCTCTGACCACCTGTGGGGGGGTGGGATCTTTTTAGCCTTGGTAGTTATGAGGCGGGAGAGGGGAGAGAATTAAAAGGGGGGAGGGCCTTTTTTAAAGTTTGTTTTTAAAGAAATGAGTTTTCCTGTTTCTGCCTCCATATTAAGATAAAGACAAAGACCCATGACTGTCCCTACAACTACATTTAGATGCGTGATTCTTAACAAAACATAAGACACCACTTCCTTAAACCTATGTGTACCATGAGATACTGCTGAAAAATTAATACTAACAGCATCTTCCCTTTCGAAAAGATACAAAGTGAAATTATGTGTGAAAAATGCAACATGGAGAAACTAGGGGTGAAAACAAGCTCTCCTGTTTGCTCTATGTTTCCTACCATCCCCAACTCCCCATTTTCTCCTTCCTCCAACTTCTGCCTTTCCTCAGCAATATTTAAGGCAGTATGGCCCAGAGGACAGTCAGGACATCTGGGACCAAAACCTGACTTAGACAAATACAAGCCAGGTGAACGTGCCCAGGCAATTCTCAAAAAAGTGAGCCAGTTAGGGTTAGGGTGCTAATCTGCTTGATTTGGGAGACTAGTTCCCCAACTGGATCACAGATTTAGAGGTCCATCTAATCCAATCCTCTCATTTTACATTTGAGGAAAGTGAGGCCCAAAAAGAATGACTTGCCAAAGGTTGGAAGTAATAAGAAATAGAGCCTGGATCTGAATTAGGATTGGAATCTGGGTGATGGAATTCCACATCAAAACTGTTTTTCCACTCTTTCCTTGACAAAGTTCTAGATCTGGCTTCTCCCCACCCCCCCCAAAAAATACATATTCTAACTGCCTGAACCCTGCCTATGCAACCCCCAAAAAAAGCATTTCAAAAAAATAAAGCAATCAATTATTGCCAAGTGTGAGTCAAACAGTATGAGGTATTGGGGGCACAGATCAAAGCAATCCCTGCCCTCAAGAAGGTTTCATTCAGCTAGGTGGCGCAGTGGATAGAGCACCGGTCCTGAAGTCAGGAGGACCTGAGTTCAAATCCTGCCTCAGACCAAACACTTGTCACTAACTAGCTGTGTGACCCTGGGCAAGTCACTTAACCCCAATTGCCAAAAAAAAAAAAAAAAAAAAAGGTTTCATTCTACAAGTAAACAGAGAAATAAACACAAAGCATTCGGGGGGGAGGGGGCAAGGAGAGGCAGATACTGCTAATGACAACGGAAGAGAGAGAAGCGTTTATATAGGAGAAGGCAGCATTTTATAGGGTCTTTCAAGCTTCTACATCTTCTAAGACCAAATGAGTTTGAGAAGCCCACCTGATGGTTGGCAAAGATGGCTTCTCTCAGATTGAACCAGCTCAATCATAGGTCCTCCAGCCCAAGAAGAACAAAACTAATGAGAGCTAGTCCTTCTATAGTGCTTTAAGGTTCACAACAGTCTTCATCGTACCTTGTTCGATCCTCCTGACCACCTTGAAAGGTAGGTGCTATTACCATCCCTATTTTACAGATGAGGAAACTAATGTAGATAGTAGTTAAGTGACTTGCCTAGGGTCACACAGCTGGCAATCATTATAGCCGTATCTGAACTGGGTCCAAGTCCAGGGGACCACACGTAGAGATCTGGACCATTTTGGGGCCCAAGATTTTTTGGGGGGACGCTCTTGCTATGCAGCATCTCATACTCCAGGTATACAGAAAGCCTTGCAGCCAGCCCCCACCCCCACCTCCCAAGCTGCTTATTCATTCAAGTGCCCAGGACCATCTAAGTTGTCTTTTCTCCATCCCTGCTCCTAACCCTCCGGCCTCCTCCAGCTCCTCCCTAGCAGTCTTGCCCACCCCTCCCACTCCAATACCAGCTAGATACCATCTTCCCCCATTAGAGCATAAGCTCCTTCAGGGTACAGACTGCCCAGCTGACTTGTATTGTATTCCCAGCACTCAGCACAGTGCCTGGCACCTAGTAGGGGCTCCATACATGCTCAAAGTGCTTCCTAGATACCTTATCTATCTAGACAAGGGCTATATAATCTAGATGCCCAAACCCAGGGCATATTTGTGGCCTGCTCATTTTATAAGGAAACATCTTAGGTCACTCACTGCCCCTGTGAAAGCACATGCCACCCACATCACACATCTGAAAGGGAATGCAACAGTAACATGAGCCAAACGCAGAAAAAAGGAATATATAAATAACCCTCATATTAATAGAGTAGACCTTCCTGGCCACCATTCCCTAATAATGGGAGTTACTGGGAGACTTGGGGGAAGGGAGAGGGGAGGGATGAGTTATTTTTAAATGCACCGTGGCTTGGCTTGGCTGGACCTCCGAGACTTGCAAAGACTGACCAGGACTAAAGCAATGACAGCCTGAAACGAGGCATCATTCAATCTGCTTCCAGCCAGTCCCTGACGGGCTGTGGCTGCAAGCACTTCTGCAAGGCAAACCACCACCAGGCTGCCTGGCTCAGCCTCTCGTTCCCCACCCCCACCCTCACTGGCTCCAACATCTGACGGTTTCATAGAGAACCGTCACTCTCAAGAAACATTAAAACCCACTTTGTTTGGAAGTGGTTCTGTGTCAGCTCCCATTCACTGCCCCCATCGGACCCCTCTTCTCTCTTCATCATTCGATCTAGTTCCCTCTGGGAAAACACCAGGTCTTTACCACTACGGAGTTCTACTTGATTTGGAGAATACCACCTTCTCTCCCTTCCTCCCTCCAACACAGGCCAACAACGTCTCGTTGTCAGAAGTGCATCAGGTCCCTGTGGAGTTGCTCTGAGTGTTTTTCTACACCTGGGACCTCTCTCTTTGACTTCCTTGGAGGTATTTCCCTAGTAGTGACCCACTTACCAGTGGGTCAAAGGGTACAGAACAGTTTAATAAGATTTCTTGTGTAAGGTCAAATCAGTTTCCAGAATGGCTGGACTGAACTAACACTAAAACGTGGTCCCCGGTCCTCAAGGAGCTTGCACTCTTAACTGGGAGGAGAAGATGTGAAAAGGCAAAGGGAAATGAGCCAGGCCATGATGCAGGAGGCTAGTCAAGAAAGATTTCCTGTGTTTGAACTGGTCTTGAAGATTCACTCATTCAATAGCTGTCTTTTTCTTTTTTTTTAAAGGAGACATTAAAACAAAAACAAAACACTGCCTGTCTTCAAACAACTAAAATTTTAAGTGGGGAAAAATATGTACATAGAAAATGAAATTCAAACAATCTACATAGTGATTTTCTAGCTGCTGAGGAGATCAGGAAGGCTTTCCGGTAGGAAGTGGCAACTGAGCTAAGCACGATAAGTGAAGGCAGAGTTGCGGCAAGAGTGCATTCTAGGCACCGGAGACAGCGTGCGCAAAGGTCTGGATGGAACACAGAATAACATAATAAAACTAACACTTCACAAAGCTGCACGGCAGTCTTTTCCAGGGACCATGCTCATCTTTTCTGTATCATTGCCATTTCAGGATCCATTTGTTGCTAAATCACTTAGAAGGGACCACAGCAGCACCCGTAACAGAGAATGATGGAACGCCACCACAAAACACCCATCGTTCACCCCTTCCTAGAATTTCTTCAAAGGAGGAAGAAATAACAACTGAGTGTCTGCCTTTCCCTAGTCTGAGGCTTTCTGAGGCACTCCATAAATAACTCATACAAAGCAAGCACCGTCAAAGGGCAAGAGAAATGTAAGCTGCCCTGAGAGAGTGGAAACTCCTTGAGGGCAAGGACTACTATTTTCTTCCCCTTTTTTGATCTCTATCTTCTCATTACCTAACACACATGTAAGAATCACTTAGAATCAACCAATGAGTCCTACCTGTGACCCATCCTGGCTGAATAACTCTGGGCCAAACAGTGAGTGTTCCAGGTCAGTGATGTTCAGCTCAAATAGAAAAATGGGGGCCACTAAACCTTACACAAGGATCCCTAAAGGCTGCATATTGACTTAGAAAACCACAAACTAATATTATCTATGTTTATCGTATTTTTACTTATTTTGATAAATTCTTCCCAATTCCATTTTAATCTCACTCAGGCCCACTCAGAAGGGTTGGGGCTACATGTCTGACACCTTTGCACTAGGGAGCTCTCTAAAAGTTACAGAGATGATATTAGTCGAAATTGGGTTTTGGCCTTTACTCACCTGGGAGTTCAATACGCCAATGAAATCCCAAGGACTTCATCCTGGAAGTTTTGATCTGCTACTCCCTCCTTAGAAAAGCTTGATATAAGTAATTAAGCTTTCAAAATTGAGGCTCCACAAATTTAACATCCCAACTGTTGGAAATCTGAGCCCTTTCCTTTTTAAAAATCCACCCCCCCCAACAAAAGGTCCTGAAATTACCTAAGTCAAACCAAGACAAGTATTTCACAAACTCACAACTTAGAAGTAAGCAAAAGACTTTTTTTTTTTTAAAACTATCCTCAACAGGTTTCTTTATAAGGAATAAGGAGTTTAAAAAATGCCCTAGTGGGGGAAGCCACACAAACACAGTCTCAGGTCAAGGCTGGCTTCTTGAAGAGCCCAACAGATTGCCACTTCCAAAAGCATTATTATTAACATTGTTTTGAGCAGGAGGAGGAGGAGGAGGCCTAGTTAAGCCCCTCTGGTGCATTACACTACACCTTTGTTTCCTGGGAGATAAGAGGTGGGCTGGCATAGAATATCACCCGGGAGTATCCCCTCCTACCTCCACAAGAGCAATTTCCTTTCAGCAGGGAACCTGACAAGGCCAGGTGTGTTAACTGAATCATTCCCACAGAGCTTTGCATGAAGCCAAGCTCCATCTCTCCCCATCACTAATTGCCAGGGAGGCTGACACCAAATTTAAATGCAATGCTATGAAGGGGTGGCCCGTGCCTGAGTGGGGTGGGCAGCAAAGGAAGAGGGAAGAAATAAACATTAGAGGCGCGAAGAAACCACACTGGAGCAAAAGAGGGACGGTTACTGGTCTGAGCTAGCTACAGTAGAGGGCATCATGGGTCACCCAAGAGATCAAGAGTTCTGAACCTGAGGTCCATGAACTTGCTTTTTAAAGCTATCTGACAACTTTATGTCAATGTAATTGGTTTCCTTTTTCAATTCCATGGATTTTTACGTTATCCACTTAAAAATACTATTCTGAACAGGGATTCAGACGCTTCCCTCATCTACCAAGGGGTACAGGACACTGCTCCACCCACCCCCCAAGCCAGACTCACACTTCCTGGAGGTTCACCAAGTGCTCAAAAGCAGCAGGATTGACTTCTGTCAACTTGTTGTTGCTCAGGTTTCTATAAAAAGAAAGAAAAAAAATGGTATTAGAATCGGTTACAGAAAGTCAGGAGGACCTGAGTTCAAATCTGGCCCCAGACTAAACACTTGACACTTACTAGCTGTGTGACCCTGGGCAAGTCACTTAACCCCAACTGCCTAAAAAAAAAATCAGTTACAGCAGACTTCCAGTGGCTGGAGCTGGAGTTAAGGATGAGGCGGGTGCAAATTCCACCTCAGACACTTCCTAGCTGAATGAACCAAAGGGAGCCTCAGTTTCCCTATCTGGAAAATAGGGAATAACAGAACTGGATATAAGCCCCAAACGGAATAATGTGGGTAAAGTGCTTTTCAAAACTTACAAAGTGCTATATGATTCAAATTATTATTATTACTACTATTCCTAACAACATCATCCCCACCCCCCTCCTTGCTTACAACCAGAACGTGCCCCAAGGTTTTAATAGGATTATACCAAGACATGCTTTTTTTTCTCTAAACCTAACTTAATCCTTCCTTTCAAAAACAAAACAAAAAAAAGTAAATGGTTTCCTTTTAGCTAATACTAACAAGTTGTTGAGACTTTTTTTTTAAATGTAAAGGTGTACTGATATATACCAGCTTTCTACTAGCCCTTATGATGTCATCACTCACCCCAGTCCTTGACTGGCTAACCTAAGGCTGAGTGTCCAGACCCCTCAGCTCCTTCATCCTCTCCCATAAGCCCCATCTCTCTCAAGCACCATTTCATCACTTATCTTCCTTACCAAATTCATTCAGGATGATACTGGCTACAACCTTCAGTCTGCACATGAAAGTATTTTTACTAGATCTTTGGTTTTATCAACAAGTCCAGGGACTAATTAATGCAAAGCCTTTGGTTTGAAAGCCATCATAGTAGGTATCATCTGGTGTAAAGGGAAGGGGGGAGGATCAGAAGAATGGATTAGGGGCTGGCCAAGTGAAGATGACCAGATGGATAAAATCTCAGAGGAGAGGAAGCCTGCTGTCTTACAGAATGAGTAATATTTGGTATGGAATCTTAGACCCCCATTAATAAAGACTGAAGGTAATAATTACAGACTAAAAGGGGGGAAATTCATCAATATGCCAGTAGATCAGAGTCCTGGATTGGGAGTCAGAATTGGGTTTAGTTAGACCCTAACTCTGCCTATGTGACCCTTGACCTTGGGTTCTTCATCAGTAAAATGAAGGGATTAGCTTAGATTTACTCCCAAGATCCCTTCTCCCACTAAATTTATGGTACTATTAATTTCTTAGTTATTTGGGGTCAGGACAAAAAACACTGGACAGATGCTGCAGTCAGTCTCAACTACTTATAAGTGATTTATCTACTATCTAAAATACTACAACTTCTACAACCAGAATGTGTCAGAAGCAGGATTTGAACCCAGGGTTGTCCTGACTCCAAAGAGAGCCCAAAACTCAGCTCTTCTCCCCCTGGTCTATTGCTGCAGCTATATTGCTCTAGTCAATTGATCTGGCCATATTGAATGGGGTGGGGGGAGCCCACCTACAAAGTCTCCCCACCACTCTGCCTTTATAACTAATAACCAATTAAACAAAAGGGTTAACAGGATGGCAGCATATGTGTGTAAGGGACTTTGTAACCCTGAATTCAATTCAATAAACATTTATAAAGTGCCTACTATATATCAGGCATCGTACCAAGAGCTAGAGAGCACTCAAGTATTTTAATTATCCACGTTACTTGGAAATGTCCAAGTTTGCTTGAGTCCAATGACATTAGCAATGAGAAATCTTGATGGGGAGGAACTTTCCCAAAGTCATACAGGAAGCTGCAGTCCTCTGGATTTGAACTCAGGTCCACCACGTAACTTCCAAATCCAGGGCCTCTTCCACCACAGCACACTCACCCCATGGACATTCCACCCAAATCCTTCTTCAATGCTTGTCCCACCACATACAAATGGAAGGCCCAACCTCCCACCACCCTTTTAGTTCAAGCCCTTATTTTCCAAGATCACCACCAAAAGGTCAAGTCTGACTTTTCTTCTGATTGCTCCTCCTTTCCAAAGCTTCTTCAATTTCACCTAATGCACCAAATCGACTTACCTGGCCACCCTGACCACCACTGGCAATATATTGTGCCTGCCCTTCCACACAAGAATCTAGCTTTTTAAGAGTATGGCCTGCCAGAGGGCCCTACTTCTTTTAATTGTACTCCAGGGACTTCTGAAATCAATACTGGCCTCCAGCAGTTATCTGTTCCACCACAACTCAAAGACATTCACCTAAATAAAAGTCACCCTGCGCTTTAAGCCAGCAGTACATTTAAAAGTCAAGTCCACGTTCACAGCACAACTAGAATTAAAGCACAATTTGTCTGGAGATTATATTACTATAAAGATAGAGGCTGCTTACTGCTTTCGTTGGAGGTAGGGAGGAAGGGGGAAGCAGACAGAGGGAGCTGTGTTTTTGTTTTTTTGTTTTTAATCACATAGTAAAAGTCAGGTTTGAGCTTGTCTAAAGCTCAGGGCTCTTATTAAAGGGTCCCAGAACTCAACAGAGGTTGTGTTTATAAAAGAAAATCCCAAAGCACTGTGAGTCAACTCAAACCAAACAACAGGAAAGCAAATGCAGCTAGACAGTGACTTTTATCAGTCCCAGAAAAGTCACTCTACGGAACAGAAAGCAGGTTACTGCTTTGCTTGGGTCTGTGCTATTATAAAACTTGGCAATCTTGTAAGATTGTCAAGGATGAGAGAAAGGTGCTTTAGGAATGGAGAAGGGTAAATGGATAGATTTTTTTTTTTAGGAAGCGTGAGAATATGTAAACTGGGTCCAGAGACTTTGCCACAATTTCTGGTCAAATTCTAAGATCTATCATTAAAGGGAAGGGTTGTTGACAAATAGAAAGGAAAGCAATCATCATTTTAAAAAACAGCAAGGCTTCATCAAGAACAGGTCATGCCATACTGCCCTCACTTCACTTTGTAGCAGGGTACCAGACTAGTTAACCAGGAGATAAAGTAAACATAGTTCACCAGCAAAGAATCTGGCAAAGTTTTTCAGGGGGATGAGCTGAAGAAGTTGGCCACTGGACAGGCCAGCTATGTGAAATTAGAACAGACAGAATGAGCAGCCTCTCCAAAAGGCATTTATGAACAACAGCAGTCAAGAAGACTAATGGAATCTCCAGAAAAGGAGGTAACAGTCTGGCTGATCATCTATCCTGCTCAGATGGCCTTTGTTAATACTGTATTCTTCTTAAGTATTCACATTTTAGAGAGGACAAACTGGACACAATCCAGGAAGGGCAAACAGAATGTTGCCAACATTTCAAATAACAATCAGATGAAGGAATTGAAAGTGTTTAGCCTAGAGTAGAGAAGATGGAAAAATGACATGATTGTTGTTTTCCTTGTTCAGAGATCAAAGGGAAGAAGCAGAAGACGTACCATAGAGGAGAAAACACAAGTAATAGAAAGGTAGACATAAAGAAATTCGATGGGATACCTCAAGAGGTAGTGGGTTCCCTCCTCAGGTCTCCAAGCAAAAGGAGGTGTGACCACTTGTGGGAAATCCAGCAGATCCCCGTGGACACTATATTCTTTCCAATTCAAAATACTAACACTCCAACATTCCCATGAATGATGTGAAAAAGGTCAGCAGAATATACAGCAATATCAAGAGATAGACGGGTTACACCGTTTCTACAAAATGCTAAAAGACCAATGGTGGTCTTTTAAGGTCCAGTGGAACGTAAACATTTCCCTTCTTAGGAAATCATGAATGCAAAGAATAAAAAGAATCACGAAAAGACTCATATGAACTGATGCAAAATAAGCAGAACCAAGGAAACAAGATACAAAATGACAACAATCTTTATAGAACAAAAACAATCAAAATGGAATTTTATGAAATTACAATGACCATGTGTGGATACAAAGAATAGCAAGAAGATACTATCCCAGGCAAGCTTCTTTGCAGAATGAGGGGACCATGGGTGTGGGACACTACATATAATATCAAGACTTTTTATTTGTTTGTTTGCTTGTTATGTTAGTTCTGGAGAAAAAATTTTTTCTTCCTTCCTCTTTTTTTAAAAATTTATTATAAGAAATGGCTCTCTGGGAAAGAAGTAGAAGAATACTATGTGAAAAGTAGGTGATACAAAAACAAAAGATTGTTAATAAAAATTTATTCTTAAATAAAATGAAGAAAGTCCTCCAGGATGCTTGGCAAATCCTCCGTGAAGAGAACTAAGTAGGAAATTCAGATTTTTTTTTTAACCCAATGAGTATTCTACTGCTTAAGATACAGGGCAAAGGTGTCAAACATTCTGCCTACAATATGCTTAAGTGTCATACAGCCAGATTAAAATGTAACTGGGAAATATTTGAGAAAATAAATGAAAATAAAATAAAACATAGATAATGTTAATTCGTGGCTTTCTAAGTCAGGATGTTACCATTCAAGTTTGAAAGAACTTATGCACGATCAAAGACCTGGAGCTGGAAAATATTTAGCATCATCTAATCTCAAACCCTTATTTTACAGATGAGGAAACTGAGGCCCAGAGATGGAAAATACCTTGCCCAATGTCACACAGCTATGTAAAGGCAACACCAAAATGACTCCAAATCTATGTCTCTTCCTCCTGGTACCAAGATGTTTCCCAGGCCACGGCTCTTAAAACTGATTTCCTGAAATGGAATGCCACATGCATGGAGCTCAGGGTGAATGGGGGAGGGGTAGAGAATGAAGGGTTTACCTTGACAATTTTAAAAGATTCATATTTCAAGTAGCAAGACAAATACCTGAAAAAAACCTTTTGAAGTACATTTTTTTTTTCCTGCTCACACCGAGTTCCCCCTCTCCAGGTTCAATAGTTAAATTTTTGTTCAGTTGCAGGTTTCAGATTCTCCTGTCAAAACAATTTATCTGTCAGCAGAGTAGACTTTGTCAGAAGCATTTCTGAACCTTTCAGCAACCAGTAGAAAGGCCCAAGGAAGAGTTTGGGAATTCAGTTACA